AAGAGAGAGATTTTGTGCAACCCAGGATAGCTGACTGGTAAATACTTAATAAATCGGACGGATTCTTGGGCCTGGGGGCGCACTGGCAGGAGGATCTCTGGGTGGGAGCCCTTGGTCTGCACCGCAGGTCCCCAAGGCCTCCTCCTCCCCTGGCCTGTCCCCGAAGATCTGGGCCAGGCTGCTGGCTTTTTATGAGCTTCACTTGTCGACAACTCAAGCCACGCCTGGCTAAGTACCACTCTGTACACTCCGTAAACAGGTGCAGATTGGCCATGTCATCGTTTTCCACCCAAGTTTTTGCTTTCCATGTTATTACGGCGGAATTATCCCAAGGTTGCCAACAGGAAGGCTGCTGTGAGCGTATGGCCTTCCTTCCTAGAAAGAAGTTTGTCCCGGCCCTAATGCGTAAAGGGTGGCCGGCAAGGTTTCCCTCGGCAAGGGCTCCCTTGTGCAGGACAGGCCTGCGGCTTGTTAAGCGGCCCGGCGGCTCCCATCGCAGGGCCCGTCTTTAGTTGGGTTGTTATAGCCTCTTCCCCTGAAAGGAGCCCTGCCGATGACTGGCAGGGAAAATCCTGTGTGAAAGGCTGGAAGTGATGGGCTGGGAACCTGCTGATTCCCCGTGGGCCCCCAGGGAGCGCTTGTCTAATCAGCAGTGGCCCCCTGCATGTCCCTGCACGGCCACTCCCAGGTATGCAGCGCAGGCTGGTTTGGCAGGGGCGCTGGAGGGTGGAGACAGGCTGTTTGCCCTCTGGCTGAGGTGCTCAGGGCGTCTGCTTAAGACCCTCTCCACCCTTCATTTTCTAGCATTATGTAGTATGAAAGTCGCAATCGCTGTGCAAAGCAGACTTTCCGTGGGGGCCAGCGCTGTCACCCTCAGTCTTATCCAGGACAATACCTGGCACATAAAGCCTTATCAAGAGCACACTATGATAGACCATTCTCCTTTGGATTTGACTGTAAACCATCACGTGTCCATTGAATTGTGTTGCGGAGATCGGTCCATCGAATCAAGGCCAGCACGCTCTCACATGATGTTACAAAATGTATTCACAGACGCAGCCACAAGGAACAGTTCCTTGGGGCGGATTATACATACAAATACATACACTCTCTCCAGTGTTTAGTATTATGCATCATTCTCTCCTACGTTCCATAGATGATCATGTTTATAAAGCTAATTCAGAATAGCCTCCTCTGGTATTTAATACTTATTGAATTTATAATATATTGGCTCAATGAGTGTTCATCACAATTTTAATAAATCCAAATTTAATTCACTCCATTTTAAAACATTTTAACACGAAATCCCAAATAAGATCACATATGGATCTCCATTTGAAGATAACAACGGAATTTAATTAAGTTAACATAAGTGGCTTTAAAATGATTCCTCAAAAACTGTCTCAACTATTGATAACCTATAACAATATCTAATAGAGATACAATCGTTCTGCTCTTTAACCAACATAGAACCGAATCAAAAAACTAATACAATGTCAAATGTGATCAATTGATGATATAAATAAAGATTATTGCAATATTAGAATTGCTGTTTATCATTTCATTTGAACTGTTGAGTGAAGCATTTCACACATGTGCTTGTGTGATGCAGTAGATAAGGTGTTATCAGTACATTAATTGCTAAAGTAAACATGATGTGATGTTGTGTGTGTGTGTGTGTATCCCACAGCGAAAGGCACAAAAGGATTAAGGAATCATACGTATCCTTTTGATTAAAGAGTTAATAGTGGGCGGGCGCGGTGGCTCACGCCTGTAATCCTAGCACTCTGGGAGGCGAGGCGGGCGGAATTGCTCGAGGTCGGAGTTCGAGAACGCAGCCTGAAGCGAGACCCCGTCTCTACTAAAATAGAAAGAAATTAATTGACCAACTAAAAGTATAATATACAAAAAATTAGCCGGGCATGTTGGTGCATGGGCTGTAGTCCCAGCCTACCTCGGGAGGCTGAGGCGAGACAGGAGATTGCTTGAGCCCAGGAGTTTTCGAGGTTGCCTGTTGACTAGGCTGGACGCACTCCCCCACTCACTCTCACCTGCTCGCGCCACACTAAACACGTCACTCTCTCTCAAAAAAAATCAAATACTAAACATACAAAAAACAAAGAGTAATTATTGTTGAAAAATTTGATGCTACGACTGGTGTGGTCCACGTTCAACTTTCACTCATAACTTACATACAACTTCTTTTTCCATTTATCTAAAAACTCCCATCTCAAACCTAAAAAAATTAAAATATCATCAAAACAATATAAAAAATAACCCAAAGTAATGTTCTCAGTCTTTGGTATACAGACATTATATTAATTGGCCCTTGGTTTCACACAGTGATTCTCTCTTCACTGTCAGTGAATAATACTGATTATATATGTAACACTTTAAGCTATACAGTTTATAGTCTTCATATCTTAATATTAAGTACTTTCACGCAACAATTAAACCATAAAGCACATCAAACTATGAATTATTTTCTCATTTCAATGTCCTGGACCTGAAAATAGACTGCATTCCTCAGATAAAAACTCTCTCTACTTTGTAATATTATTACTCATTGTAATACAACAGCATTGTATCTCTATGTTCCCTACTCATTCCATGTTAAATACACTGTAGCAGTGTTAAATCTTGTATGATTATATCACAAATACAAAAACCATATACTATTCCCCTCCCCCCACCCCACCTGACACCCATAAATTTATTCTATGTTCTCCACTTTATTTATCAGTTTAATACCAATTTTATCCATGCACTCCAAATTTTCTATTCCTAGTCCCAAAGCTTCACAGGAAAGTTCTGATCCCACCAAAATATACATTTCTCATTTTCCGAAGTCACCATTCCCCTCACTATATCTTTTCCACGCGTGATTCCTTGCGCTCAGAAAGCCCTATAACCTGCACTATCCTTCACGTCACCAATTCGGTATGGCCACCTACTTCCACGCTCATTCAAAATCCTGACCTAATATTCGCTAGAGCTTAGTATCTCGATAATACTTAATGCAAATCAATAATTTGTAGAATCTCCAATCTCTATTAAAGGTTTTTAAGCCAACGAGCCGAAAACTAAAAAATAATAGATTTACCAAACTGATTACTTAAACTTTGCTCATTCTTTCAATTCCCCTTCTTCCCACTTACGAGACACGTTCAATTCGTATTGAAGAAGTCAATGAAGAAGCAGGACCATAGGAGGTACATATTCCACTCCTAACTCATTCGACCGTCCCCAGACTGGATTCCATAGTTTGGCAAGTTCTCACCTCTATCCCTTCTCATCAGCTCTTACATGATATTATCTCCATGACTTCCCTGTAGATTTCCAGTTACCCGAAATTCTACACCGGTTTCTTCTCAATCTGAAAGAAAGTCTTCGAATCATTTAAAGTCTGTTACTGTGCCAGCTTAGATACCTCTTAAATACACAGAATAAACAAAGATATTAAAGGTATATTGTTACTCCACCTCTTCCTAACAAGCAATCACCCGCATATTCAAGAGTGCCAATAAAGAGCGACCTATCACTGACCAGAGCAACCTCAGATTTAGTGCGAATTGATGCAGGGCTTCCTAAAGATAAATCAACTCCTCCTTCACCTGAACATATGCGCTAGATTTTGGCGAAACGCACGCCAATCCTTCTTCTAAACGGTGATCACTAATAAACGATGTCACTTTTATTTTAATGAATTCTATGTTCTTAGTCCCAAGCAAAGGAAGTGTTTTCCGTCGATTCACAGCCAACAATGCTGCCGTACAGGGTTTATCGCACCTTTCTCCTATTAGGCCAAAGTCCACCCATTCTCTCATACAATTCCGAGGAGAAGAAAACAAACCTCCATCTTAAAAACGTAATTTCTGAGGATTCCTTAGATGACACATTAAATAAAAACAAATTACATTTAATAACACAATGTTTGAAAATGAAACTCTCACAGAAATTTAGTATAAATAACAGCCATACAATAGTCCTATTCACTAAAGTGCATCCACGCGGAAGTTATCCAGGTGAAGCATGTAATGATGAATGACTAGTTGATGGAAAAAGTGTTGTTAGTAGTACCTATGTAAAATTAGGTAGATAATAAAACAGATCTCCGAAGAAAATATGTTGTACTGAGAGCGAGAGAGAGTGGATTATTTACTTATACGACCTACCCCTAGTAGATAGAATTTAGAACAACATACAGAGCTTTTCCGAGACACTGTCAACCAAACAGCGGGAAACGCCAATCCCACTACTCATTGGCTTATTTACGCAACCTGAACCAATTTATAGAGATTAATTCACTAGAACACAACAGCTCCACAT